AATGAATATCAATCTCAGAAGGAAACCAACAATTTAGAAAAATAAAATAAAAATCCTTTAATGCACTCGGATGAATACATTAATTTCAAAGGACAGTCAGGAATTAAATATGTTTAGAAGGATAAGAAGATATAAAAGGAATATCTAATGTGTCGGGGAACTAATAATGATATTAATAACGGTAATAATGATAAACATGAACATAAGCAGACTTCATATATTAAGATAAAGAGAAATAAAACAAGATAGAAGTGAAAAGATTTAAAGGTTTTATTTTGCTTTTCAGGCAATTAAATGGATGACGGACCTTGTTTGTATAAATCATTATTGAATACATTGATATTCAATAGGTGAAATAATCCACTTTCGGAAAGAAAATCATCAAGGAGACTTTTGAACCGGGTTGTAGTTTCACTGCAACGGAGGTTCACTGGCAGTCTGTTCCACCTGGTTGATATCATAAGGTATGAAGGGGTGGATACCGAAGAGTAGGAAATACCGTTAATAAGCCGGTAGATAAAGACAAGATTTAATTTGATACGTCTGATCCAAAGAGGTTCTAAGTTGAGTTGTTGACATCTTTGGTGATAGTCTTTGTTATCGGAATACCCCAGAACAGCTTTGGTGAACTTTCTTTGAACACCTTCAATTTTAGTCAGGTCATTATGTCTACAATTACTGTAAACTAAAATACCATATTCAAGAATGGGCAAGACACATTTTCTGTATAGTAACAATCTCGATTCGATATTATTGAAGTTTATCATTATCAATCCGATGAGCTTTCTAGCTTTGGATACTTGAGATATAATGTGTTCAGAAAAGTTCAGACTATTGCTATATCTTAAACCCAGGTCATGAACAGTGTTGAGAGGTTTGAGTGTATGTGTCTGTACGGTCAGATTTAAGTTAAGACAGCGACCAATGTGAATAAATCCACTTTTGTCAACATTAAGTGGCATATTCCACGAAGCAGTCCATTCGTACAACATGTTTATTTCCTCTTGGATTACCGCTGAAATATAGCTTTCTTTCGTGGGAGAAGAGAATGAATAAACTGCTTTCATGTCATCAGCAAAAAGGAAAGGCTTACCATACTGAAAAAGGGAACACATCATTGATAAATAGGAGAAAGAATAGTGGGCCAACCACACTTCCTTGTATAACCCCACTGGTTACATTCACAGGTTTAGAGTAGCAAGATCCATAGCGAACAATTTGAGTACGTTCTTCTAAAAAAGATTTGAGCCAAGATAAAAGGGGATTCTGTATGCCAAATGAAGAGAGTTTTAAAAGAAGTTTGTGTGAGACACTGTCGAAAGCCGTACTAAAATCGAAGTAAAGAATTATCACTGACGGATGTCAAATTAATTGGCTTGTAGTTAATAATATCACTACGTGGTCCTGTTTTGAATCTAGGGGTGATAAGGGATGTTTTCCATACAGATGGATAGGTCCCATATTCCATAGATAGATTGAAAAGTTTCAAACAAAATAGTGGAAATTCTCTACTTCCATATCTCACAAATGATGAAGGTATCCCGTCAGGTCCACCGTCATAAGACGTTTTCAGGGCAGCCATGGCCTGCTTGATGTTGGAGGGTGTAAAATCAATTTTCGACAGATGTCTGGATGTCAGCATTGGAAATGTAATGATGGAGTTTTCAGTTCCAGTTTTGTAGCACTGCGAGAAGTGCTTGCTGAATTGTTCGCATATAGTATTCGGGTCGTTAACAATGCTTCCGTTAACTATGAAGAATTTAGTCGTGCAAAGGGAATTTGACTTTACACGGGATTTAAAAAGCCGAAGTATTGATAATTCTGGGCTTTTACTACGTAGAGCTTTATTTTCTATATTCATAAAATACCTACGTTTAAATGAAGCATTTCTGTTGATTAATTTAAGTATACTCTGAAGTGCATACACATCATTCTGCTCGTAGTAGCGGCATTTTAATTTCCTCAGCTTTCTTTTAAAAGTATTTTGGCCCCTTTTAGCATTATAAGCCACACGGCCAATAACTGGAGCAATGCAGCCAAGGCAATATATCAGGTTGTGGTATAGATCGGAAAGCGCAATGTCAACATTATTTGTGGCAAAATAAGTTTCTCATGGTAAACATTGAATCAGAGTTCCAGTCCGTTTCCATGTTTGTTGATCAAAATGTCCGCTCTGGTACATCATTGAAGCTTTAGAGTTCAATTGTATGGCGTTTAAAGAGTGAATAATACTCAATACAACTCTATGGTCACTCATAAAAAACTCATGACTGGTATGCACTGAGATAGAGTCTATGTTGATTGTGAAAATTAAATCAAGTGTATTATTCCCCCTGGTCGGTTTTCGGACCTGTTGAACCCATCCACAAATTTCTAATGCTTCAACTAGTTTGTTATATCGACCTGGTACCGGAGTCAAGCTTCATGTAATTTTTGGCAGATTAAAATCACCTCCGATGATTCTAAAAGTATGCGGTTGGTGCGAAGCAATGGAAAAGATGTTTGTTAGTAATCTGTCAAACTTAGTATCCGCATGAGGTGGTCTATATATTCATCCCACCAGTAAATAATTTTGGGATCCACAGTTTACAGTAACCCAAGTGAAGTCGTCTATAGTATCAAGCGGTTTATCCTCAAATTTGCATGCTTGAATGTCTGAACAAACATAGATAATTGTACCACCTCCTATTCCATAACATCTATCGGTTCTAAAGAAAACGTAGTTATCTACATTCAAGGAATGATAGGATATAGATGAATTACACCACGTTTCCGTAATAAGTACAATGGTTGGATTTACAAGGAATAAAAGAGTTTTAAGATGAATAATTTTATTGGACAGAGAGCGGGCATTGAACGAAAGAATAAGAAACTCAGAGTTATCATAGTGAAGCAGGTTAGAGTATAAATCGCAATTGGTAGTTCCATGAATACTCGTAGGATTAGCTAAGGTAAGAGTTGTGTTGCGAGGGAAAATAGATTAAACCACTTTGTCATCAAGTGAAATATATTTACCGTTGCCGGCAGGAAAGCCGGCGGAATTACAAAAAATGTCTTCTCATTGCTACTTGTAAAGCTAGACGTCCTCTTAGAATCGGACTTAACTTTACGACCATTAGGATTATGATGCGTTTGAGAGTTTGACGCTGGTGGTCTGTAGCTATCTCTTCCTGTTTTTTGCTGGCATGGTGTTTTATCCGGAAGAGTCTTAATATCCTTGAAAATCTGTTTTTGTCTCAATGAATTGGAGGAAGTTAAAAATTCACTGGCGTCTACAGATGAGTTGAATTCGAACAAGATCGGTGAATGCATACCAGGATGACTTATTTTTAATCTTGTGCATACACATGGTACGTGTGTCATATTGCTGGCTCTAAGCAGACTAGATTTGATATTTTTAAGGGCATGTGTATCCGGTATATTAAACACAATTGCATTGCTAGATCGTCTTATTCTTTCAAATACCTCTGATGCAACACGATCTAGGAAAATATTTATGTCATTCATTTGATCTGGAGTCTCTATGAGGTTGGGGTTGATGAGATATTTAAGCGGATTGAGAATGTTCATGTCTACTTGCAACTTCTTTATAGCATCCATATGGTCGCAGTTGCGATTATCATCACTGTTTACCAGCAGAGTTTTCAACATGTCTGGAATGGAGACAACTGGTAAAAGCTTGTCTGATTCTGGATGAACGGAATGGCTCGTCTCGTTGAAACTGTCGAAAATCGTGTCAGTAGTGGTGTTAAATTGTGTCGTTTTCCTACGTTTGGCTGGACGCCTAGAAGCAAGGGTCTTCATTTTCTTTTGTGGCATGATAAGAAAGTGACGTATAGCAAGTGGATTGAACAGAATGTTGGAAATAGAAAGGGATGAAAAAAATCAATTCCGAGGGCTCAAGTTAGTCTAAAAATCAAAATCTATGTTTTAAACAAGAGTGAATGTATCGTGAGGATTAGTAGTGTCAAAAACAAAGGATGACAATGGCAGGAAGATAGTAGTGGAGATGAAGTATTTATGTCAGTATCTGTGTGGAGGCAAAATAGAATATAAAGGAGCAAGTTGTATACATTTTAACATATATATGACACGAAAGATAGCCTTATATAGTAAAGTAATTTAGAAATGTCGATAATTAGTATCAAACAATCAAAGTGAGTACGGTATGTGATACATATATAAACTGAAAGTCCGTATTATTAAAAATTGGGAGGTGCAGAGATAAGTAGTTTAGAAGATTATTACCGTCTAAGATTATTATGCTGCTTCATGAACAAATATATAAAACAGCTTTTTGGAAAAAAAATACTGTCAAAAAAAGCTATGACAGACTCACCGAATTGGACAGGTAATTTCGGAAATTAAATGATTTATAGTACCCAAATACGATTTAAATGATAGTTCATAAAATAGTGAATACAGTCCTTTAACATACACGGTTATATATATTTCTTGATATTAGTTAGTGGTTTGAATAGATCCTGTAGATACATATTCGTACAGCAAAACATACAAAGCTAATGCGAATTAAGCTTTGAGCATCTTTTAAATGCAGTGGGACTTAAACGTGTACACATCTTATGAAACCATTTTTTACACTCATCATATCGCATTCCTTCCTCCACGAGGAATAAACAATTTGGATGTATGGATTTATAAGTACTGCCAAACATTGTTATCAAATTAATAAAGTTTGAAACACAATATAATCACAATATGAACACAAGTGCCAGGGTCATTCAGAAAGAAGGCACTACAGAACAAATTTTTAGCAAAATTTCAAACCTTAACTGAAATACTTCGAGTTAAAGTAGACCAATAATGCTTTTGGGTGCAACAAGTACGCAAAAGCAAAGACGATCACAACAAGTACGCGCCTTTAGAGAACGAATTGCTTTGATAAGACTGAAACGCACTTTTGGAAAGCCTTCCTCCTGCCTATAACACAGTTTCTTCTAATACGCCCACGCGCGTTTGAATCTTTTGGAGCTGGATTTGACATAAGGTCAGTCCGTAGGTCATGTACCGAGATTACGGCCTGGCGCAAACTCCGTTTATTGATAAGTTAGAGGTACGTATGAATGCCATCTTGTGTTAAAATTAAGACTCTTAATCAAGCAACAATTCCAGAAATACCTGTGTACAAACCTACGGTTGCAGAATTTGAAGACTTCAGCAAATGTATTTCCATGATAGAGTCCCTCGGTGCTCATCATGTAGGGCTTTGCAAAGTAATACCACCTTCAAATTGGGTTGGGCGTCGCAAAGGTTATGATAATATTGATGAATGTTTGGTAGAAAAACCTATATGTCAAAGCACATATGGTGGACGTGGTATATATTTTCAGGTCTGTTTTATTAATTTTCTCAACAATCAGTGTAGGATATTTCACCCAGAAAAAGTCTCAAATTCAGTGACTTTAAAAATATTGCTTTATCAAGTATATATTGCACCCCTAAGTACAGGGATTACGATCACCTTGAAAGAAAATACTGGTCGTCGATAGGCACAAGTCATCCACTGTATGGGGCTAATGTCAGTGGAACTTTGATGGATATTGACCAGCATATTTGGAACATTGCAAAACTCGACTCAGTACTAAGTCGGGTTTTCGAAGAAGAGGGTGTACAAATACCAGGTGTGAATACTCCATATTTGTATTATGGAATGTGGCGATCTACGTTTCCGTGGCATGTTGAAGATGTAGATTTATACTCTATAAACTACCTGCATTACGGTCTTCCAAAGTGCTGGTACGTCATACCTCCAGCTTTTGCGCGTAAATTTGAATCTTTTGTTTCCGGTACGCATTTTTTAAAAGCTAATTGTCTTTAAGAATATTTTAGGTCGGAATTCTTGAAATGTCATTGTTTCTTAAGGCATAAATGCGTTTTAATTAGTCCTACAGTTCTTTCCCAATCTGGAATCCCAACTAAGAAAGTAAGATACACTTTCAATCTCATATATTCCTAGATTTTACAACACGAAGGTGAATTTATGATAACTTTTCCTTATGCTTATCATTCCGGCTTCAATATGGGTTTAAACATTGCTGAATCAACAAATTTTGCACTTACTAGGTGGATAGAGTACGGAAAACATGCGAAAATATGCACCTGTTGGGATGACACAGTTAAAATATGTATGGATCCTTTTGTGCGAAGATTTCAGCCCGAGTTATTTAATGATTGGAAAAATGGAAAAAACCTACCACCACATCCTCTCGATGAATATCTGCCAAAGGAAACAAGTCATCATGTTGAGAGCACACTCACATATCCAGGTTAGTTTACTGAAGATTATCTAGCCTTTAGACAGTGCCAAGGATATATTGGGTATCGAGAACAATGAGGTTATGGCCAAAGACCCTTCTCTTTTTAAACCTTACTCTTCTGATTCACCGCCTCCCAAAGTTGGCGATCTGAACTCTATTGATCTGCGGTATTCCTCAAAACGTAGGTTTTTCTGGTTGAATTTTATATATTGGCTACTCTATTTTGTTGTATGCATTTACTGACTTTCAAATAGATTTTACAATATTCTAACTGTATTTGCTTGTTAATTTCGACGGTAAATAGCATACATTATAAAAACCACGAGTTATGTGGCGTACAGTAACGTAACAGGGATATAGTATTATTGGAAAGCCGAGAAATCTTAACGAATATAACGAAGGCAGTTAAAACATCATATATATATATATATATATATATATATATATATATATATATATATATATATATATATATATATATATATATATATAAAAGAAATAAAGACACGATTATATAATTTATTTTATTTCATTTTATTTGAACACAAATATTGGTACAAGAGAGCGCCAATATATATGTGCCACACAAAACAATGAGAACTCAAAGAGAAAAAAAGGTAAGGAGCGTGAAAAAAGAACAATAACGAAGAGATTGGTGTAAGGTATTATAGTAATAATAAAGGAACGGAAAGGTACAATCAGAAGAAATATTTCAGTTAAGGGAGGCACAACCATTTTTTATGAAGAAAGTAAAAGGTTACAGCAGGATCGCCTCTGGCTTCTATTCTGAGCCATATCTGATAACGTCTCTAGCCACTGTGTAGCGCCATCTCTCGGACCCCAGCCAGGGAGTCGTGAAGGACCAACACAAGCCAGTCCTTTGCAGCTTTCTTTCATGCCACGACACCATGTCATGCACTGACCACCTTCGCTTCTTCCAACCAGTCCCAGAGTCGGCAAATAATGCACGACGTGGAATTCTCTGGGACGACCTTCGTAGAACATGTCCAAGCCACCGTAGTCGGTGTTTCAAGATGGTGACACCGATTGCCTTATCATCTCTGTGCCCGAACACACGACGCCGAACCTCTGCATTACTAACATGGTGTCGCCACTGGATGTCAGCAATCCTTCGAAGACAACGATGATCGAACACAGAGAGTCGTCTAACGTCCTCAACTCGGAGAGGCCAGGTTTCACAAGCATAGAGCAAAACTGCTCTCACCGACGCGTTGTAGATCTGACCTTTTACAGCCGGATTAACATCACGAAGGCGCCAAAGGTGGCCCAGATTGGTATAAGCCGCTCTGGCTTTCACTATACGTGCATTGATCTCATCACTCTCACCCCACCAGCACTTATGCAGCTACCTAGATACACGAACTTCTCGAATACTTTTAACTGCCCACCATCCAGAGTGAGTGCAGGATTGGAATCCTGCCAGTCCTGTAGAAGTACTTTGCACTTCGAAGGTGCAAAGCACATACCGTACCTACGGACACTGATTGCCAACTGATTAAGTGTGGATTGCATGCCTTGGGCATTATCGCCCAGTAAGACAATATCATCCGCATACTCAAAGTCGAGAAGTCTTTCTCCAGGCAACAGATCCATACCACCATTACTTACATCCATCAGAGCTGTTTCCAGAATGTCATCGATGGTAAAGTTGAAGAGGAATGGTGAGATCGGGCAACCCTGTCTAACCACACTGCTTGAATGGAACAATGAAGAGAGGTGGTTGTATGCCCTCACTCTGCCTGAGGTGTTTGTATATAGGGCTTTTAGGATGTTAATAAACTTCTCAGGGACACCCTTCTTCAATAGACAATTCCAGAGAACAGCCCTGTTGGCCTGTGATAAGTATGACGGTGTTCTAACATTTGGTGGAGGGTGGAGATATGATCAATACATCCTCGACCGGAACGAAAACCAGCCTGCTCCTCGCGAGTCAATCTTTCTCGGGTTTCGAACAACCTATGAAGTATGACGGAAGCTAATAGCTTGGACGCAATCGGAAGTAGACTTATCCCCCTATAGTTGTTACAGGAACGATGTGAGCCCTTTTTAAAGATAGGGACAATTATTGAATCATTCCATGACGTTGGTACACTGTCTAGCCCCCAGACCTTTGCAAACAACGTCGTCAATTCCTTAGTCAGAAAGTCACTACCATCTTTAAAAAGAGCTGGAAGTAAGTCATCTGGGCCAGGTGATTTGTAACGCTTCAAGAGTTAGAGTTCCATGCGGACTTCCTCCTCGTTTGGTGGATCAGTCGTCACCGGCCATGGAGGGCAGGACAGTCTGACCGATGTTGCCGAAGCAGCAGGTCAGTTGAACTGCCCTTCGAAAAATTCCGCTCATCGTCCAAGACGTCGATGAATGTTAGTGATTGGCGTTCCGTCATCCTCGCAGATAGTTCCGCTCCCACCAGACTTCTTGCTGCCAGTGGCTCGGGTGAGTTGGAAGGGCTTCCGGTAATTACCAGATGCAGCTGCTGCTTCCAGCTCATTAGCACGCTTCGACCACCAGGCTTCTCGGTCCTTACGCAAGCTTTGCCCGATTTCCTTACATAACATCCTTCGTTTATGGTCAAACTCACGGTCACCCGGAGTAGACCGACGGGCTTCGATGAGTTGTAAGGAACCAGAAGAAACCCAGTGCTTATAAGCGGGACGTTTCGCGAACCCACAACTGACTGCACCCGCCGTTTTCATGGCGTCATGCAATTGCAGCCAATGTTCATCTTTACTTTTTGGTGGAATGGCAGCCAGCCTAGAAGCTAGCTCGGTTCGATACTTACTAGCAACAGAAGTTGCAACCGGCTTGCTAATATCAATCCGTTGATGGCGGTCACTTCGTTGTCCACTGAAAAGTAAGGTAAGATTGGCGCAGACCTAGGCATGATCAGAGTCCAGATAGGTGCTCCAAAAGGAGCGGAAGTCTTGTGCACAACCACTCCAGTTATTTAAACTGTTACATCCTCTACTTGATTACGGCTAATACGGTATTCGGCTTCAGTACACAAACACACAGAACCCACAATTTCAAAGTCGAAAAAAGACACAAGAAAGCAGGAGAAGTTTTTATTAAGTGTCGAAGATGTACAAAAAGGTGTACTTGTAGTTTTTTGATGTGGGCTATAACAATTTTGATCCAGCCAATTCACTACTATATGAAATTGTTTATTTATACCATTTTATTTATTTGAACACATAAATATTGGTACAAAGGGGCATCAAATACATATGCACCACACAAATTTTTTTTCGGTGGAACGTTAGCTGCCCTTGAACCTAGCTCGGTTTGATATTGAGTTGCAAGAGAAGCTGCAACTTATTTACTGACTCCGATCCGTTTAGGACTATGAATTTGTTGACCACTGAGAAGTAAGGTAAGATTAGCTTAAACAAGGGCATGATCAGAGTTCAGATAGGTACTCCAAAAGGAGCGGAAGTCTTGTACACAACCACTCCAGCGGTAGCTGATCGCAATGTGATCAATCTGAGTCCAGGCTTGGGATGCAGAGGGAGGACGCCAGGTGGCACATCGGCGATGACTGTGCCGAAAGTTAGTGCTAGCCAGAAACAGGTTGTGGTCTGTGCATAGTTGCAGTAGACGGTCCCCGTTATCTGACCTGGGACCAACAAGTCCCCATTGGCCACCTAGACGACTCTCTGTTGTGCCTAGACGTCCGACCTGAGCATTCAAATCTCCGGCTAATACTGCGATATCTGTCGAACGCACTTTTTGTAGATGAACTGTTAGCTGGTGGTAAAACTCATACTTGATCGCATACTGGTTGCAATCTGTCGGAGCATAGGTAGAGATGACGAAATGACATCGTTTTTCGCACCGATTTCATCTTTGATGAAACTTTCTAATCTAACAGCACATAAATGACTGTTAATGGTGATCTAGTCGATTAGTGCTGTTTCATCTCGAGCTCTTAATACGACCCTAACGCCAGCAAAACCATACAATGCCACAGGGTCCCCGGATTAACTCACCTAATACAAACTTTTCAAAGCGACAGTTGGAGAGCGAATTTGTAGTACTTCACTAGAGTCTTGAATATGGGTCTCCGAATGACAACAGACGTCTATATTGAGACTCGAAAGACATAGCCAACCTCTTCTGTTGTCCAATCCGCACAAGTGTGCGAACGTTGAAAACAGCCAGTTTGAATGGCGCACGTGGTTTCAGAAAAACTGCTTCACTACTCATATTCAGTGGTAACATACAATTTTCAACCGGACAGTGACTCGAGAACATTTATATACAGTCGAATTTCCACCAAAGACGAGCCGCTGTATAAGTATAAAAGAGGGTGAATAATGTTGTAGTAAATAATAATAATAATAATAATAATAATAATAATTTGTTAGTTGAAGCAAGTAAAGTAGTTTCCATAATTATAGGCAGTTCATCATATTTGCGTGTGGGCTGTGATACTGCCCGGGTGCCCAGACCGAAGCAGGTGGTTATCTTAGGTGGCCACACCCGAGCCTTTGACCTAAAGGTCTAAACCACAGGACAGTGGAGCATCGTAAGGAGATGCAGTCCCATGGTAGCCGGTGACCAACGATTGGTTCATACGCCATTTGTTCTAACAGGTGGACTGCACGGTGTTTACTGTTGCAGACAATGTGTCATCAACATATCCGGAGTATTCCATCGTTTCGCTAATCGTTTGTTTAAGCTCTGTGTTTTCAAGATAACCCATAAAAATGTTTGCCATAATTGGATATAATAGACTTCCCATTGCTACACCACTTTGACGGTATATAGCGCTATTGAACTGAAATTTGACATATTTGTTCATATAAGTAGTATTTTTTTAGATTCTGGTTCTGGTAAAGGTAGGTCAGAATTCTGCGAATTATTATCAATAATTCCAGGAAGTGCTATTTTGGTGAACAAGGATTTTACATTAAAAGAAACCATTGACTTACCAGTAACATTCATATGATTTAGTCTGTCAGCAAATTAAAATGAATTTCTTAACGTATATCTTTAGCGGACGGGTTCTAGCTTATCTACTAACCAGCGTGCAACTTTGTGATACGGCGAATTAATGATTCACAGAATATCATGTTTTGTGCACCTTTGGTGGACCATATATGTGAGCCATGCATGAGCCACGATGTCGTAGATCATGGTAGGCAGAATTAGAAATCATTTTCTTCTTAGAAGTTCTCTAAGCATGCCTGTTATTCGTTTTTCTGTTGAGTTAGTTAAATCATTGTTGTCTTTATTTGCCTTGAACCTCAATTGGTCGTCTAGGATTGACGTCATTTTAGTGGTATACTGAGTTGTGTTTATTAAAACGACACCCTAACCTTAATCTCTTCGTATGATCATTACCTTGTCGTTTGGTTTAATATTTCCTAAAGTTGTCAGATGCTCTTTGGATAGAATATCCGACTTTGATCTCGAAGTGAAATATTGGTTGGCAATATCAACTGACTCTGAATTGAACCAGCCCTTCTTTCCCTCATTTATTGGATTTAGATCTTTTAGCTAGTCAAATAAATTTTCAAATTAAGGCTCTGTATCGATCCTGTCAGTACTTGTGAGATTTGAGTCCCAGTAATAAGGCTTATGTTTCTATATTATTAAGCTTTGTATTCAATTAATTATAAATAAACTTCGGAGGGTTTTCCGAGAGCCATAAATTTAGTTGTTCCTTCATCTGAGTTTTCGAGAGAGATTTGTGGAAGTTCTTGCAAACCTTGATTTGAAGGTCGTGGATAAGGCTGATGGATTTTATCTAACATGCGATATATAAATCATTGACCACTTTATCGAAAGCATTGGCCTCAGTTTTCAGTTGTGTTATAAGTCATTTCGTCCATCCAATGTGTGATTTGGTTATACTTCAGAGGTTCTTAAGAGAATGCGAGGGTTTGCATGACCGCAGAGATTTTACAAATAGCATGAAAAACGGTGTTTACTCTTTACGTAACCACTTGTTTTCAGCCCTTTGGATCTTTGATTACTATAATTGTCGTAGAAGGTTCTTTTATATGAGGTGTAATGTTTTATTCAGTCTTAAGTTTATTTACACCCTTGATACACTATACTTATGTGTCTTTAAAGCAACTTCCAACTAGAATCTTTTATGTAGCGATTCAGACTCATTTTGTAATTATGATCTTTACATATCACAGATTGTAAGCAGCTGACGACAACCAAACGAAATAAAACGAACTCATGCTATTATGATCAAATCTTTGTTCATGCTCTCTTCAAGATGATAAAGGAAACTATGTGTTCGAAATTTATCCGATTCTCTTTTACCACCACATACTTCATCTACTGGTCTTGTATCCGTCTTGATAATTCCATCTTCATGTGCTTTTATGGAGCTGCAATTTAGGCCGATGAACATAAGTACCAGGTTATTATGTCGCTTGAAACGGAGTGGTTGACTTGGATTAGTAGAGTGTACTGAGTTCCATTAGAGTACTCATTAATGCTTTTTATTTACGCTTCTTGTAACTTTCTTGTTCTTCATATTTACTCATTTATTGTCAATTTCTTTGCCATATATTCGTTTGCTATTTACTTTCCTGAGATATTTACCTCTAATTTTAGAGTTCGAAACGGCCAAAATTCCTTTTCATATCGCTACTAACCCTCTCTTGTACCCTCTGTGGTGTGGAAATCCAGCTAATGAACAGATTGAACGAAATTTCAACATTTTCATTGGAAGTCATAAACCATATTGTGCTGTTTGCTCATTTTTGTGGACTCCTCAGGTGAACAAATCTTAGCACTCTTTTATCGGTAAACCTTTGTAAATTTGGGATCTATATGAAATTTGTACTTTTGATAGTTGCCTAAGTGTTGGTAAAATAAGACTTTTACGTAGAAGAGGTTAAGATGCAGTTGCCACATTTCACATCATCATAGAGGAAATAAATAAATGGAATAAAAAACATGGGATGTTAATTAATATCGAGTGTTATATAAACTTGAACATAAGAAATACAAGTTTTTAAGTAAGGTTGAATAGTGGCTTGGATTGTAAACCAGGACGCATGTTTCTTCCTATCTGAGAAGATGCGAACCCTTACACATTAATAGTAAAATTCATTCCAGTTGCACAGACAAGTAACTATCTGAACTTATTAATTCAGTGGATAAGGTATTGGGCGTCTAAAGTGAAAGATACTAGGTTCGAGCCTCAGTACGAACATCAATACTGAAATGCATGTACATCTAGCTGATGAGTCCCAACCACGACAAAATCCACTTTCTGAACCCTACTGCTAGCCACTACTCAACTTGAAAAGTTGTGACGTGATGGCAGTATCAAGGTAATCCGCTCAGGATGCACATGCAAAAAAGAAACTGATCAAAATTCAGTTACTAACATCAATAACAGGAGGGTAATTTTGTATTTAATTTTAAATGGCCGTTTCTAACGTAAAATACTTGAGGCCTTGTCGAACTACTGACGTGTATCAATATTTTTTCTTGATAGCTCTTAGTGTGTTTACTTGTTTTAACAGAGTAAATCTGTTAGGTTAATTCAAGATAATAATCTCTCATATTCTACTGATCCGATTATACTTTTTGAACACTCACGTAATAATCTGATCCACCAACGTGTGTGTCTCAGCTATTCAATATTGTTAGCGGGACATAGACTAGATTAAAGCATGCTCAATGCATGATTGCTTTGGTGCACGCTGATTGGCTAATTCTTATCCAATCAGCGCTAGTCGATAGTTGGAGAATATTCTGGATTTTTCTTATGTAAAAACTATAAATATACTGACGTTTTCCCCTATTGTGTTTCCTACTGGCTTCTGACTTGCTATTTGGAATATAATCTCTTTCTTGTTCAACCGTGTTCTGATCTGGGGACTTGTCGAGTGAATCGGTGTCCGAGAATACTAAGCAATAGGAATAAGCTGGGTCATTAACCGTAAGAAAACAGAGTTATAACAAATATCGTTCTCTAATTATATCTAGGTAGAAATGTTTTTGTACCATGGCTATCGTGTTATGGTCAACAATACTATTAAGTTGTTCTAGATGTATGAAAACTATCAAATTGTATTTCAGACTTGACCCATTACTTTACTCTTAGTTTAGGAAAATACAGTCTACTTATCACTTTTGTCATCTATCATTTTAGCATGTTTCTAAGCTTTTATCTAGTGGACATCGAGAAGACAAACTACCTTTATACTCAGAACCACACATTCCCGAAGTTGCATATCGCAGCTATAATTCTTCTGTACAGTTTCCTCCGACAGTTAAAAGTCGTATACTCAGGTGTTTTCGTTGTTGCTTAACTGTACATGCTAGATGTTATGGTGTTCAAGATGAACTTGGATTTAAATATGAGTCTTCATTAGAACAAAAACATAATCTGAACTTTAAAAGATCCTGGTATTGCGATGCTTGTATGGCGAGTTCAAAACCCGTAAGTTAATAATGTCATTTAATGTCTTATAAATTACGTATTGTAATCGTATCGTTGTCATGATGAATGAAATGATTATAAACTGTGACAAAAATATGATTCTGTTATTAATAATATGTACTATTTTTGTCATAACATAGTGTACCATTCAACCGTGCTGTACTATTTCATTAAACCATCTTTGCAAGAATAATACCTCCAGATACTTCAAGTCTTATTTTTCAAGTGACTAATCGATATTTATCTTTATCCCAGGATGCGATTCTACAGACTTAAAGTAAAATTCATCCTAAAGTGTTAATATCAACTTTTAACCCAGACATTCTATAATTTACCTCGTTTAATGCAGTATTAAACTTTGATATGCCAGCGATAAAAGAACCAGTAGCAACTACGTATTCTTATATTTTTCTCTTTTGAGGATGATTGGCCGTTACGAGATATTAGTAGTGCAGATGGTTTCCATGTTTTTAGTTGAAGCATGCTTCAGTAAATAAAGTGTGTGATCTAGAATAAGGTTAAATGAAGTGTTGCTAGGCCATTCGATTATATTCCCAATTATGCGTAAGCTGTATTATAAACTATCCCTCTTTTATATCCGTTCAATAGCTTGATAAAATAATGTCCAACAAGATGTTTAGTATGATCAACCTGCCGAGTGTATATGTTATGAAGAGGGGTATTTTATCTTCAACACACACACGAATGACTCCATGGGAATATTTCGGACTAAAAAATTAATGGAATCGGGTCCATACCACATATAATCGTCACCAGTTATGTCAAAATTGTAAATATACAACTAAATAATTAGTAGTGCCAAAGAACTTTGAGTTTAGTTCTACGGCTTTCTGTTAATCTTCTCCAATTGCTTGACGTCAAAGCAAAATATAACGCAACATCAAATCAGTTAGGGTAGTGGTTGTATAATGCAACTTGACCGATATTTCGTTATTAGCATTCACTGCTATACAATATAGCATCGTGCAGTTTATATTACAAATTTTTCTGTGTTAAACAACCACTGAAAACATGTAAACACTAGACAACTGTTTTGTTGTAGTATGAGATTCCTCATTAGTGGACATCTTCAATGATCGAGAGTGATTTGCCTTAACACAACTGAGTTTGGATCCAATGGTGTATATGTCTAACGTAAATCAAATTCGCATTATTTAGCGTCCATCTCCTAATGTCATTGATGGGTATCTTCCTCACACGCAGCGTAGGTAAATTCCGGGAATTATCTCTAGAAAAAATTGCTTTTATGAAACTAAAGACAGTTCATTCTATATCTTTACAATCGAGAGTTAGAGTAGTTTCATAATAGATGTTGATAAAAAGCAATCGTTCTTATGACTTATTAAGATGTACAATTTATTAGCAAACTGGGTTATTCATATTAAGCAAGTAATTGCATACAAGAATTGTCATGCAGATTTAATTATCTTAGTCTATTGCACCGTTATTTTCGATTTTTCCATTGTAAATAATGAAAATATAATAAGCAAATGCTTATTCATTTATATATTGTTATTATTGTTTTAAAGTTTCATTATAGCATAGGTATCAGTTATATAGTTCAAAGAATAAATACTATCCACGTGAATTATTGGTTATGTGGATTAATGATAAATTGTAAAATCACACACAAATTATAGTATATTCGTTTTTCATCTTGATTATGAAGTTTATTTAATAGTTTTTTCATTAACTGTTATTCAATTTTCCGAGATTTCTGGAAAAAAAATTTCCCATCCGTATGTTTGGTTTGTTTAATACTCAAAACTTCGACATTTTAAACGATTTTTGATATTATTCATGTTAATTCTCATAATATTTTACGATTTCCCGAAAGCTTATCAAGAGCTACTTAAGTGAATTTGATGTTATAGGAGGTTAAACGTTCGCACACGAAACCGAAGGTCCTGAGTTTGATGCTCGGTGAGGTCGTTAATGCTCATCGCTAAGGAGTCCTACACGTAGTCGAGTCGACTGTCCAATTCTTCATAGTTCTTAATGGTTGTTTAGGTAAGATTGCCCCGTGATCTTAATTATGAAACAAAAAAATATATTTATTCATCGGTTGTATTCTTGTAAATAGTCTTATGAGGTCCATTTTTATCAGATGGTTTTGCCAAAATGTTCAATTAGGGTGTACATTTGTGAGTTACTTTTACCTTATTATATACACAGATTCATTTTAGCTCAGACAGTCATATATATATATAACATTGTTTATTTGCATCTGATTATTTTACAGACGTGTGTATTCTGTTATATGCGCGGAGGAGCTATTAAAGCACTAGCCAACATAAATAATGCATTTACTGGACGACCTTACTGGGCACATTTAGTTTGTGCACTAATTACTCCAGGTTGCTATTTTGAAGATGTGCCTAAACGATTGGCATTTATTTCTGAAGACACGATCAAATCAGCTATGTCTTCAGCCATATTATATTCCAGCGAAAGTAATAAACGTGTGATTAATGAAATGCAAAATATCAATTCGCCTAGTTGCTTCTCTGAGACTGTTCCCTTCAAATCTTCAAGTTATTTACAGAAGAATTTGAAATTAGTGCGTAAGAGACCACCTAATATTGATAACAAAATTTTACGAGAATATTATGAATCACCTGATCAGAGAAGTAAAATACGTCGATTAAACAAATCGAAGTAAGTTTTATTTCATGAGATAATTACTTAGGTTTGCTGTTTTATGGTAACTAACTCCTTAACATATCTTTTTTGTAAAGGTTTGTGTTATCTGGTTGTTGATATTTTTACTGAAATTCAATCAATCCTAAGTGACATATGTTAGTTCTGTGAACCTCGATATAGCCATTATGATATAAGTGTATAGAATATGATTAGCAGTGGAATCCAGAACGCATGTTTCGTTCTATTTGGGACCCGTTGAACACGTTCGTGGCTATGTAGACTCAATAGCTGGGTAGGTAACTCGTTGGAGTTTGAAGCTAAAGGTACTGGGTTTGAATTGCAGGGCGGACATCAACTTTGGGATGCAGATACATTCAAGTAGAACGAAATGTGCCTCCCGAACTTTACTGCTAACCATGTTCCATCTATTTTAGAATGGATCGGTCTTGTGAACACTCAGGATCGTCACTGACCATCTTCGTTTTGCTAAACACCAACTAGCTCTCGGTCAAACATCATTGCCAAATCATGTTACGGTCTACCGTGGGTAGCTTCTTCTGTTCTCACGTTACGCTATCTTTACATGCAACCAAATATATTCTTCCCGAAAATCGCCTTCCCTGCTTATCTTAGTGCTTCATCAGACACTTGGTTATCAATGTTAACAGATTCTGTCCTATGTAGGGCATATGCAGGTGTACTTGTTTTGTTTTTTCTCTTCAGTTATTCAACCACCAAATACTGTTGATAATAATATATGAGTAAAAATAACAAAACTATGAGTATTAAATTGTAAATGATAGAAATATATCAATACATTTCTCCTTTGAAAAGGTCTGGTTCCTTAAGACTGTTCTAATACATATTTGACTTGCCTTTTTTTCTCCTCTTTTATTTCACAGTAATCGTTTTTCACGAAAGCTACTCAACACTACTTCCACAGTTTCAATTGATTTTAATTTTAAAAAAATAAGACCATTTATTCAGAATAATAACAATGGGATTTCTAGTGTTCATCATTCTGACAATACTAACATACCAGTTGAAACTGGAGACAAAATTGCATCATCTCTTCCTTCAATATGTTTTGTGTGTCAATTACCTGGGAGAGGATTTCTTCCATTGGCTTCTTGCTGGCATAATGGTTGTTCTACACAGTTTCATGTTACTTGTGCTCAAATGGCTGGTATTGTTATTGGAACTGATGTATATCCTCGTTTCTTTTATATCGCATGCAGTAAACATCCTACTAACTACGATCACGTAAGATTGTCCGTTGTGCGTTTATATTTATCAATACAATACTCATTATTTTTGGTATTCAGTCAAAACAAAATATAGTAAATAACTTTTGACAAAATTCACTATACTTCACTATATTTCTTGATTTTCACATAATGCCTGGTACCTTTTTGAACTCTTTGATGCAAGGATACTTGCATTGACATTAGTACAAGTGGGATGAAGAGTCAGATAACTTCATCTCGTGTAGAGGAACTCCTCTGGAGTACAGCAGTATGATTCTTCTATTATTTAGCTGTGAGTTTTGTTTATTTATGATAGGTGACATGTCATAGACATTTGATCATTGGTTATTTTAGAAGGAACTGGCCCTATTAGGTGTAATGACCAATGACCAAATTTCAACACAAAGTGAGAGGTAGAGAAGCCAGTAGACAGTCGTTTGTGCGCTGTCCGACTAAACGGAACAGTAAGAATCCGAAAAGATAGGGACACTCGTGGTTGCCTCTTCGTCGTCTCTGCCTATTCTCCCATTGACTGCAGCGCAGATGATGTAAAAAATGAGTTTTACAGAAAGCTCTCCGACCTTTTCCGAAAAGCTAGGCGCTCGGGTGTAATAATAATGGCCGGTGACTTTAATGCTCAAGTAGGTAAACTAAGCGATAGGGAAAGACACCTGGGTGGATCTTATAGCATTGTGGCTCAAAGAACAGATAATGGCGACCGTCTGTTGCAGCTATGCTCAGATAACCGCCTGTTCCTTGCAAATACTAACTTTAAGCATAAGGAAAAACATCTTTTAACATGGCGACCCCTTAATTCGTCCCAACGTTGGACCCAAATAGATCACATCGCTATCAGCCACCGATGGAGGGGCTCAATAGAAGACTGTCGCTCATTCTGGAGCACATGCCTAGATTCAGATCATGCTCTAGTGCGAGCACGTATTTGCTTGCGTCTTACTGGACGTAGGAAAGATCCTGCAAGGAAACCTCTTAGGGCCCTACCTAATGATAGTCAAGCTAAGAGTATATTTCAGGAACAACTAGGAAAACAGTTAGGCAGCCATGTATGTGATGCCCACCCCGATGCAGCATGGAATGATATCCGAAAAGCTGTGGAACCAGCAGTGATATCTGCTAGTAAGGTAAACCAGAAGGTTAGGGAGCAACACTGGATCTCAGCAGCATCTATCTCACTGATAAATGCTCGGAAACACATTCCACCTGGCTCTGAACATAATGAAGAGCGGAGTCAGCTTAAGCGCAAGCTGACAAGAAGTCTACGCAATGATCGCGAACAGTGGTGGGTAGCGAAAGCAAGAGAGATGGAAAAGGCAGCGGCAATAGGTAATAGCAGACAATTGTTTAGACTCGTTAAGGAAACCGGAATTAGGAACCTGACCGTTAGCGAAACAATCTTAGAGAAAGATGGATATATTATACATTCTCAATCCGGGAGATTGGATCGATGGGCAGAAAACTTTAGGGATCAGTTCAACTGGCCTTCAGCCACACTTCGGTTTCCCACGATCTCCAGTCAACCTGAATGGCAAGTTAGTGTAGGTCCTCTGACTCTTTACGAAGTTGAAAAAGCCATAAGAAATCCGAAGTGAGGGAGAGCAGCAGGCCCTGTCAGGTTTACTCCTGAGATTTTTTAGGATGGTGGTCCAGTATTAGCAGCGAGATTAACTGAGGTCTTAGGTAGGATTTGGGAACTGGACGTAATCCTATCTGACTGGTCTCAATCACTGATTGTGCCAGTCTATAAGAAAGGACAAAAGTCCTCTTGTGACAATCACAGAGAAATCATTTTGACAAATATAGTATCTAAAATATTAGCTTCAATAATACTTCGACGCCTAACTAAAGTTCGTGAAGAGCAGACTAGAGAAAACCAGGCTGGTTTTCGACCTGGACGTGGTTGTACAGATCAGATATTCACACTACGTCAGGTTCTAGAACACAGACACACATTCAGACGCCCCACAATGGTAGTATTTCTCGACCTTAAGGCGGCATTCGACTCCGTTGATCGTGAGGTTCTATGGCAGTGTTTGTCACTGAAAGGAGTACCAAAGAAGTACATTAACCTTATAAAGGCTCTCTACTCGAACACAACTGGTAGAGTGAGAGCTTATGGCGAACTGTCATCAGAATTGATCACCTCAAGTGGTGTTCGTCAGGGCTGTCCACTCTCTCCATTCTTGTTCAACTTTGTCATTGACGTACTTTTAGAGATAACACTTTCCTCGTCTAGATTTCCAGGGGTTGAACTTCTACCAGGAGGTTCACTTGTTGACTTAGAATATGCAGATGACATAGTTCTATTTGGTGAAGACGCTGACAAAATGCAGAGTCTCCTGACCACTCTAAGCAACAATGCAAGCATGTTCGGCATGCGATTCTCCTCCTCGAAATGCAAAATGTTGCTTCAGGATTGGGTTGCATTGACACCCGAACTAATGTTAGGGAGTGAAGTAATTGAGTGTGTCGACCGCTTCACTTATCTTGGGAGTCTCATCAGCCCTTGTGGTCTGGTGTGTGATGAAATCTCAGCACGGATACAGAGGGCTGGACTAGCTTTTGCCAACTTGCGTCATTTGTGGCGTAGGTGAGTTATCCGTCTATCAACGAAAGGACGTGTTTACTGCACAGCAGTTCGTTCCGTCCTACTTTATGGCAGTGAAACATGGCCGGTAAGAGTAGAGGATATTCGTAGGTTACTAGTATTTGATCATAGATGTCTCCGAAACATTGCTCGTATATCATGGGACCATCGAGTAAGTAACTCAGTTGTTAGGAAACGGGTACTAGGTAAGGATGGCAAATCAATTGATGACGTAGTGAAATTCATCAGTTGAGATGGCTGGGACACGTGTTACGTATGTCCAACCACCGACCGCCCCGACGAGCGATATTTTGTGGTGTAGGAGTGAGTTGGAAGAAAGCTAGGGGAGGTCAGACCAAAACATGGCACAAATCTATGAAGTCACTGACAAGTGGACTGAGCCATGTTGGTAGGTGTAGATTACCTGGTTGGGATCTGAGAGACGATAGCAACCGATGGTTAGAGACCCTGAATGACATGACTCAAAATCGTTTGCAATGGTGCAGGTGCATCCCCTTTTTATGTTCCCCCAAATTCTAATCTTCTGAATTTATCATGTCCCTTTTCTTTTCCTCTTTCCAAATTTATTTCATTGGATTATACTCCTTGAATAACATCTTTAAACCCTAATCTTCCCGATTACTGCTTATACTCTTACTACCTCTACCACTGTGGGATTTGAACCGACAACTACATCTCTGTGCTAATGTGGTATGGCGGCTCGAACTGATTTACGTACGTACGAAATTCTACGTTCTTACTGACTGACTGAGGTAGAGAAGTCTGTAAATTTTTCATTGATTAAAGCGTATGAGCTTGAGTGATCGAACTTGATCTTGAATAAATCCATGGTTCTGTGTTGTAATCCCTTGATATATTGTGTATATATGCCGTATGTTCCAGTAATTCAAGCCATCTTTTGGATTCGGATTAAATCTTTATATATGTATACAACACGATTTGTATTGGTTTTTAAATCATTCTTAGTTCCTACTAAATTTTTTATACTGATGATCACAGATTCTTGTTTTCCAAATAATCTATCATGACTTTTTGTACTAACCTAAAAGTGTTCATTCGTATTTAATCTTTTGCTTCTCTTTTGAATACAAAAAGCCAAATTTTCACGATCACGGTTCCGTTTCCCCAGGAGATGAAGTAATGGTACAAGAAACCAATGATCCTATATTTTCATCCGCTATTGCTATCCGACGAGTAACTCCTCTGTACTGCCGTATTTCGTTTCCCGATGGAACCTTCTCATCAGATACACCACCAGAGTATTTGACAGTAGGAACACTTTTTAACCTTTAATTTTATATACTTTTATACGTTGCGATTATTAGAGTAGTTTACAAATTATTGTGAATGTTAATGAGTATTCTTAATAATTCATACGTACCAGTTCTTATTATTGAATAAAATTAGTGTTTTTAAAGGCAGTAATGAATCTAGTCTTCTCTTCACTTTTAGAATGTTAATTGGTTCAAAGATGGACCTCCAGAAAAAGGATCACTTATTAAAGTTTTATGGGATGATGGGATGGAATATGCGGGAACGTATGAAGGTACTACTTCTGAACAGTGGGAAGTAAGTGTAATTATTGTTTAAATATTGGCCATATATTGAAGTTGTAAAACGTTCACATTTATTTCCTTTACACACATTTTGTCAAATAATCAAATGTTTGAGTCAAGCATATGTTGATGTAACGATGTGTAGATCAGGTTTCCATATTTTCTGCCAAGAAGATCAAAGGTTGTCTAGTTTTTCGTTATTACATGTTATTTCGTTAAAGGATAACTCCGATGACATTTTCCCGAATTCATATTTTCACAACGACCTTTCCTGTTATCTGACTGATTGTTATTGTTTTTTAGTTTACTAACGTTGTTAAGTGCTCCAGAGTCATTACATGTTACTGTATAAACAGTTGTTCAGTTTTCGACGTTTGTTCGAAATGTAAATCTCTCCTAGAAGTACCACTTCCTCTATCTCATATTGGTGGGTAGATTGTAAAAGTTGTAATGTGATTGCCTGCCCAGACGTCTGGTCTATTTGAGTTTATTCGTTGTGTTCATGCTGGAGGATTCTTAATTGTTCATAAAATGGACTCACTGTAGGTCATCTGGAAGTCCCAATCTGTATTCGCTTTTATCAATATTTAACAGTTTCACATGTCTGGATATCATCAGTGGACTTGGGATACAAAAGGTTGTGAATATTACTTTAAAAACCATCCAGTACTCTTTTGCTTCTATTATCAAACTCATATGAACGAAAGAATCATAAATGTTTTGATGATGTTAGGCAACCTTCCAGCAAATAACAATAGTTGTATTTATACATATACTAGACAACACATTAAGAATAAATTTCATTAACAAACAATTCAATATTATAGAGTGGTGTCTCGTGATCGAGAGAACAAAAACATTTATGTTGGAATTTAGTTTAGTTATGCTTTGTATTTATTCACCAGCTGCTTCAAGTAACACTGAACATATTTTCAAGAGCATCCACTTTCTATTAGTGAACACTTATCGTCCTATTAGCTTGCTAGCTGTTCTTGGATAAAAATCTATCATTTTATTGTTTATTCATACTGAATGCACCTTCAATAAACATGTTATGTATTATATTGTCGTGAACGAAAACTCTGATACCCTATACCAATTTAATGTTATATGCAAAATTACACAGTGCCTTTACAAAATATGAAAATCATACATTAAATTATCTGTACATCTTCCTTCAGTTGTTCTTTACGTACTCCATTATTCTTTCAATTCTTTTGTTATTCCGGTTGCTCTCTGTTTCGCTTTTTCTTCTCTTTAATTAAATGTTTTGCTGGCAAGCATCCCACTTCCGATTGTTGCTGTATACTACCAAAATATGTCAAAATACGTAGCGTACACCACACTCATCCCGCTTTCAAAAGAAGGTCACTTGCGGTCAATCTGCTCGACGTGCCGCTTTCTAGGTTGTCGCAGTCTGTGCCACGCCATTCGTCGGAATGTCGCATTGACCTTTTGGGCCATCTAAATCCGATGTCATCTCAGCACCAAAAACGTTTCGCATCTAGTGAAATAAGGAGAAAAGGAAGGAAACTGATGAGAAATCGGAATAACAACGGAATTGAAAGAATAAAGAAGTACGTAAAGCACAACTGAAGGAAGATGTAAAAATAATTTATTTGATGTATGATTTTCATATTTTGTAAAGGCACTGTGTAATTTTGCATGTAACAATAAATTAGTTTAGCGTATCTGATTTTTCGTTCACGATAATATTTTCATTTTAAACAAATATTTCCACTTTTATAGAACAGATAAAGAAAATCACACGGAGTTTCGTCCGATTCGGTTTTCTTTAACGTTGTACATCGTTTGCGGCTTTTCATATATTTGAAGAAATAATTTCAGTAGAGTTTATTTATTTATTTATTTGAACACATAAATATTGGTACAAGAGAGCGCCAATATATATGCGCCACACAAAACAATGAGAATTCGAAGAGAAGTAGAAAGAAAAAAAAAACTAAGGAACGCAAAAGAAAAAGAGAACAATGACGAAGAGATTGGAGTAAGGTAGTGTGGTAGTAACGACGGAACGAAAAGGTACAATCAGAAGAAATCTTTCAGGTAAAGGAGACACAACCACTTTTTATGAAGAAAGTAAAAGAAGGTTACAGCAGGATCGCCACTGGCTTCTATTCTGAGCCATATCTGATAACGTCTCTAGCCACTGTGTAGCGCCATCTCTCGGACCCCAGCCAGGGAGTCGTGAAGGACCAACACAAGCCAGTCCTTTGCAGCTTTCTTTCATGCCACGACACCATGTCATGCACTGACCACCTCCGCTTCTTCCAACCAGTCCCAGAGTCGGCAAATAATGCACGACGTGGAATTCTCTGGGACGACATTCGGAGAACATGTCCAAGCCACCGAAGTCGGTGTTTCAAGATGGTGACACCGATTGCCTTATCATCTCTGTGCCCGAACACACGACGCCGAACCTCTGCATTACTGACATGGTGTTGCCACTGAATGTCAGCAATCCTTCGGAGACAGCGATGATCGAACACAGAGAGTCGTCTAACGTCCTCAACTCGGAGAGGCCAGGTTTCACAAGCATAGAGCAAAACTGCTCTCACCGACGCGTTGTAGATCCGGCCTTTTACAGCCAGACTAACATCACGAAGGCGCCAAAGGTGGCCCAGATTGGCATAAGCCGCTCTGGCTTTCACTATACGTGCATTGATCTCATCACTCTCACCCCACCAGCACTTATGCAGCTACCCAGATACACGAACTTCTCGACTACGTCTATCTGCTCACCATCCAGGTTGAGTACAGGATTGGAATCCTGCCAGTCTTGTAGAAGTACTTTGCACTTCGAAGATGCAAAGCACATACCATACCTACGGACACTGATTGCCAACTGATTAAGTGTGGATTGCATGCCTTGGGCATTATCGCCCAGTAAGACAATATCGTCCGCATACTCAAAGTCGAGAAGTCTTTCTCCAGGCAACAGATCCATACCACCATTACTTACATCCATCAGAGCTGTTTCCAGAATGTCATCGATGGTAAAGTTGAAGAGGAATGGTGAGATTGGGCAACCCTGCCTAACCCCACTGCTCGAATGGAACAATGAAGAGAGGTGGTTGTATGCCCTCACTCTGCCTGAGGTGTTTGTATATAGGGCTTTTAGGATGTTAATAAACTTCTCAGGCACACCCTTCTTCAACAGACAATCCCAGAGAACAGTCCTATCCAACGAATCGAAGGCAGCCATGTCAAGAAACACAACGATTGTTGGCCTTTGATAAGTATGGCGGTGTTCTAACATTTGGCGGAGGGTGAAGATATGATCAATACATCCTCGACCAGAACGAAACCCAGCCTGCTCCTCGCGAGTCAATCTTTCTCGAGTTTTGAACAACCTACGAAGAATGACGGAAACCAATAGCTTGGACGCAATCGGAAGTAAACTTATCCCCTGATAGTTGTTACAAGAACGACGTGAACCCTTTTTAAAGATAGGGACAACTATCGACTCATTCCATGACGTTGGTACACTCTCTAGTTCCCAAAGCTTTGTAAACAACGTCGTCAATTCCTTAGTCAAAAAGTCACCACCATCTTTAAAAAGAGCCGGAGGTAAGTCATCTGGACCAGGTGATTTGTAACGCTTCAAGAGTTGGAGTTCCTTGCGGACTTCCTCCTCATTTGGTGGATCAGTCGTCACCGGCCATGGAGGGCAGGACAGTCTGACCGATGTTGCCGAAGCAGCAGGTCAGTTGAACTGCCCTTCGAAAAATTCTGCCCATCGTCCAAGACGTCGATGGATGTTAGTGATTGGCATCCCATCATCCTCGCAGATTGTTTCACTCACACCAGACTTCTTGCTGCCAGTGGCTCGGATGAGTTGGAAGACCTCCCGGTAGTTACCAGATGCAGCTGCTGCTTCCAGCTCATTAGCACGCTTCGACCACCAGGCTTCTCGGTCCTTACGCAAGCTTTGCCCAATTTCCTCACGTAACATCCTTCGTTTATGGTCAAACTCACGGTCACCCGGAGTAGACCGACGGGCTTCGATGAGTTGTAAGGAACCAGAAGAAACCCAGTGCTTATAAGCGGGACGTTTCGCGAACCCACAACTGACTGTTCCCGCCATTTTCATGGCGTCATGCAATTGCAACCAATGCTCATCTATACTTTTCGGTGGAGTGGTAGCTAGGCTAGAAACTAGCTCGGTTCGATACTTACTAGCAACAGAAGTTGCAACCAGCTTGCTAACATCAATCCGTTGATGGCGTTCACTTCGTTGTCCACTGAAAAGTAAGGTAAGATTGGCGCAGACCAAGGCATGGTCAGAGTCCAGATAGGTACTCCAAAAGGAGCGGCAGTCTTGCACACAACCACGCCAGCGGTAGCTGATCGCGATGTGATCAATCTGAGTCCAGGCTTGAGATGCAGAGAGAGGACGCCAGGTGGCACATCGGCGATGACTGTGCCGAAAGTTAGTGCTAGCCAGAAACAGGTTGTGGTCTGTGCAAAGTTGCAGTAGACGGTCCCCGTTATCTGACCTGGGACCAACGAGTCCCCATCGGCCACCTAAACGACTCTCTTCTGTGCCTAGACGCCCGACCTGAGCATTCAAGTCTCCGGCTAGTACTACAATATCTGTCGAACGCACTTTCTGGAGAAGAACTGATAACTGGTGGTAAAACTCATCCTTCATTGCATCCGGGCTGTAATCTGTCGGGGCATAGGCGGAGATGACGAAAAGACATCGTTTCTCACGCCGATTTCTTCTCACTTTGATGGAACTTTCTAATCTGACAGCACATAACCGACTGTTAATGGGGATCCAATCGACTAGTGCTGCCTCAGCTCTAGCACTTAGTGCGACACCAACGCCAGCAAGACCAGACGAAGATGCCACAGGGTCCCCGGATAAGCGCACGTAAAACAAGCTTTTCGAAGCGACAGATGGAGATTGAATTTGTAGTACTTCGCCAGAGTCTTGAGTACGGGTCTCGGATAGACAACACACGTCGATATTAAGACTTTCCAAAGACATAGCCAGCCCTATCTGTTGTCCGACCTGCATAAATGTGCGAACGTTGAAGGCAGCCAGTTTGAATGGTGCACGTGGTTTCAGAAAATCTGCTTCAGTCCTCGTATTCGGTGGTAACATACAATTTTCAACCAGACAGTGACTCGAGAACGTTTAGATACAGTCGGATTTCCACCAAAGACGAGCCGCTGTATAAGTATAAAAGAGGGTGAATAATGTGGAAAATAATAATAATAATGATAATAATAACAATAATGACAATAATAGTAGTAATAATAATATTAGTATTACTAATACTAAATTTCAGTAGAGAGATGTTTAAAAATCAGATTTCAATGTAGAATCAATTAAATCTACAGTGAATGTGTTGATACGAATAAAATTAATGTCTGTTGTATCGATCCATGATGTAATGTGACTGCAATAAAGTAAGCTTAATATTCAGGCATTAATTCCGTTGGTGATTGGATAACCTATAATGCTTGTAACCGCCAACCGCTAATTTATTAAATGAGTTATAATCATACTTTTGTGTTCATTATTGTGTATAGGAGAGTGTTATTTTCTTAATAAGAAAACACCTGTTCTGCTGGTCATCTGTCTTGTTTTCTGATATCAGTTCAATTTGAGGGCTCGTGTTCAGTAATTCGGTCTCTGAATCATTCATCACTTATTTACTTTGTATCAATTCATCCCTCTCATCTATCTGTCTGGATTGGATCAATTTATTATAACAACACACAACTTATCAAATGACGGAATTTCGGTTTATGATGTGTAACTGCAATTGTTTGATAACAATTTTAGTGTTTTTTTGGAATATATTTTACAACAGAAAGTTTAATGAATTCATCTCCTGTGTCTAATTTATGGAAATCAGATTAGTTTTTTATGTCGTATATTTCGAGTATTTATTCTTTTCGGTATTAAGATGACAATCAGTAGTCAAGTAAGTACATTAAATATATATTTGTTGTTGTTGTTCAACTTGTGAAAAAAGGTATCTCATTTATTTATTTTTGATTAATTCATATTATTCTCATAGCTTTTCCCATAGTTTCAATTTGTTCAGTAATTTGTTTCTACTTCACAATAGGTTCAACTGGAATCTGGAGAGATTAGAGTATTTAATCGTGAACAGTTTTATGTACAACCAAAAACTAAATATTCAGATAGTAAGTCAAAACAATGCATAAGGTTTTTTCTTTTATCCATTCCTTTTTATCATATTGTTAGATAAATGTAAGAAAATTAATTACTAGCCTTAATAAGATTGTTTTGGTTGCAAACTAAATTATATACTAACAAGTATGATATTTGAAATTAAAAGGAAGTCACGGTGTAGTATTTTATTCATCAGTCTTCTGGTTGGTTACTAACTAATCTCCGTGACTAAACTCTGAACTAACTAAATGTCGATTTCACTTCAATAATTGATTCTTATTGTTGAGTGTTTTACACCTTGAAGATGGTCAGCTGAAATTAATCATTATCTCGCTTTATTTAATTAAGCTAAACTTGCATGGTAAAATCTTTGGAGACAACTTATGTGATAAGTTTTTGTTGAGTCGATGTTTCTCGTGGGTCATCCAGATTTGTCACTAGGTTTTCCAGCTCTCATCTTGTCCTGAACCATTATATTATGATAGAAAAGTTATTTAAACTGTTACATCCTCTACTTGATTATGGCTAATACGGTATTCGGCTTCAGTACACAAACACACAGAACCCACAATTTCAAAGTCGAAAAAAGACACAAGAAAGCAGGAGAAGTTTTTATTAAGTGTCGAAGATGTACAAAAAGGTGTACTTGTAGTTTTTTGATGTGGGCTATAACAATTTTGATCCAGCCAATTCACTACTATATGAAATTGTTTATTTATACCATTTTATTTATTTGAACACATAAATATTGGTACAAAGGGGCATCAAATACATATGCACCACACAAATTTTTTTCGGTGGAACGTTAGCTGCCCTTGAGCCTAGCTCGGTTTGATATTGAGTTGCAAGAGAAGCTGCAACTTATTTACTGACTCCGATCCGTTTAGGACTATGAATTTGTTGACCACTGAGAAGTAAGGTAAGATTAGCTTAAACAAGGGCATGATCAGAGTTCAGATAGGTACTCCAAAAGGAGCGGAAGTCTTGTACACAACCACTCCAGCGGTAGCTGATCGCAATGTGATCAATCTGAGTCCAGGCTTGGGATGCAGAGGGAGGACGCCAGGTGGCACATCGGCGATGACTGTGCCGAAAGTTAGTGCTAGCCAGAAACAGGTTGTGGTCTGTGCAAAGTTGCAGTAGACGGTCCCCGTTATCTGACCTGGGACCAACGAGTCCCCATCGGCCACCTAGACGACTCTCTTCTGTGCCTAGACGTCCGACCTGAGCATTCAAATCTCCGGCTAATACTGCGATATCTGTCGAACGCACTTTTTGTAGATGAACTGTTAGCTGGTGGTAAAACTCATACTTGATCGCATACTGGTTGCAATCTGTCGGAGCATAGGTAGAGATGACGAAATGACATCGTTTTTCGCACCGATTTCATCTTTGATGAAACTTTCTAATCTAACAGCACATAAATGACTGTTAATGGTGATCTAGTCGATTAGTGCTGTTTCATCTCGAGCTCTTAATACGACCCTAACGCCAGCAAAACCATACAATGCCACAGGGTCCCCGGATTAACTCACCTAATACAAACTTTTCAAAGCGACAGTTGGAGAGCGAATTTGTAGTACTTCACTAGAGTCTTGAATATGGGTCTCCGAATGACAACAGACGTCTATATTGAGACTCGAAAGACATAGCCAACCTCTTCTGTTGTCCAATCCGCACAAGTGTGCGAACGTTGAAAACAGCCAGTTTGAATGGTACACATGGTTTCAGAAAGACTGTTTCAGTATTCGTATTCGGTGGTAGTATTGAATTTTCGACTAATCAGTGATTTGAAATCGTTTAGATAGAACAGAGTTTTCACCATAAGCGAGCTGCTGTGTAAGTTGAAAAATAAGGATACTTAAAGGGGGAATACTAGAGAGTGGATAAGTGACGTTGTATATAAAAAGTATCGAATATGAATTGTCGAACTTTTAATCGAGGCGAGAATAACATTTTCAGTAATTATCGTCATTTTGTTTGTGTTTGGGTTGTAATACTGCCCGGGTGCCCAGATTGAAACAGGTGATTTTCTTTGGGGGCCACACCCGGAGCCCATAACCTAAAGGTCTAATCCACAAGGCAGTGGAGCAACGTCAGGAGATGCAGTCCCCTGGTATTTTGTGACCAGTAACTGTCCCGTACGCCATTTGTTCCTTCAGGATCCTGGAGCCCTTGTTCACCACTGGTTTGGAATCAGGATTTTCTAACTCTTTTAGGTGGACCCTCCGTATCCACCAACCCAGTTAAAATGCTGGACATTCACTTTTCATCCTCCCAGTTTCGTAAACAACACCCTCACTGCGAAAAGACAGTAAGTAGGACCTCCCTGGCAATGGTCGTATGCTCGTGGTCATGTCAGAGCGTTTCAAGAGAGAGAGAGCTGATTCTCCCCACCCTCGGTCGTCCCGGGGCATACCACCTCGATATTCCAGAAATTTCTTTCGGATTCTGGTTGGATGGAATTCCTTTGGGATTTTTAGAGCCTCTGGGGCTTTGTTGCGCTTTGTGTGAGCCGTCCGAACGCCTCGAAGTCAGAGTTTCCTTTGGGGTCTGCTGGTACCTTGATAACTGGCTTGTGGCTGCATTCCATCTTTTTTAGTGTCTTTATTATCCCCTTCTTCATTCTTTTGTTCTTTATGGTGTCCTTTGACGTTTCCACCATTGAAGTATCATTTATTATCTCCAGTGGTAGATTCACCTGCATGTCTTCCGCGTTCCTTGTCCTCTTATTTTTCTGGATTTAGTTTGTATTTCTGGTCAGAGTTCTAAGCGCCCCGCACATTTTGTACAAAATATTTCCCATTCTTTCTTCAATAATTCCATTTCTCCATCGATTTTGGACCTGGTATGACTTGACCTACGTCAAGACTACGAGTATAACTACTTTCTCTTTTTATGCGGTACCTTGGTGTTGAAAATCATCCCGATATTACCACTCGTGTCGAAGATCCTAGCAACGATTAATTCATTGGGCGCAACTATATTCTACTAATCTCTCCAACCCTTTTGGTTGAAGCTGCTAATAGATCTTCCGTTTCTACAGGTGTTTTGGTATCTGGAGTAAACATTGACTAATTTTCCACCTAGCTGTTTATAAAATATACTCTTGACATTTACGTCGTTAAGTTAAACTCTAGTCTTATTGCTCTGACTCTTCTGCGTTCAGTACGATGCATACAAATGCGTGCTCATACTAGAACATGGTCAGAGTCTAGACATATGTTCTAGAATGGATGACAGTCATCCACTAAGCATCTCTAACGACGGCTTTGGGCAACATGATGCGGTGTGGACAGACGTATGTGATTTAAATTAAGAGAAGAGGGATAGCAACAGGATTGGGAGATTTCATATTTTACGAAGGCAGTTTGGTTTTTCACAAAACAGTAAACCGGTTTTCCCCACCAAGTCTTTGTTCATTACAATAATTTTTTGCATCCGTCTGTGGGTCGATTGTGGAGTTGCCATGTCAGACGATTCGATTTCTTAGTTGCAGGTTGATGCTTGCTAGAAAAGCGTGTTTAACTGAACATAGTTGAAGGATTCAGTACTCACTATATTTATACTGAGTTGCAATACATTAATACTAAAATGACTTCCGGTTAAGTATAGACTGCTTGCTTGGTTGGGCATTAAAATCACCTGTCATCGTTTTTTGTTTGGGGTTTCAACCTTCTGAAAGAGAACGGCATCCGTCCCTATTCCGAATTTCTACCTTCCCATTTAGTTGCACGGCGTGTAAGAGACTGACTCGGACTGTAGTCCCTGAGAGCCTGTTCTGCTTTGAAAACTAACTTTTCACTTACGTTAGTGAGGTCATGATAAGCATTAGTCAGGTCCCCAGATACACAAAGGGTAAATCTCACAAACTTTTCAAATTGACTTGGTGGAGCACTGATGGGACGTCGTGATAAGGTCGTAGGGAAATGACGTCATAGGGACAGGAGAATTACTATGAGGTGGCGAAGGGATTCGATCTTGTTCAAGGTCGTTTTGAATATCGTTAGGGGTTTGATGACAGTTGTTTCTTTCGCGGTTGCCCACACTGTAGAATATTATTTTTCAAGGGACCCAACTGATCAACTTTCTAACCGTACTTAAATTTTCAGTATGCATATAGGGATTAGCTTTAGTGGTAATAAGTTTGGAAAGATCAACGTATCAATAAGTTTTTACAGAAAGCTATTTACTTTAACTCAGTCTATTTACAAGTCCTTTACAATATTTTTGTTTTTCGTAGATTTGGCTTTTGATGGTTCGTCTACTGATTATCCATGGGGAATAACAGATCTTGAAGATTCAGTCGCTCCCTCGAATTCATAACATGACTTTTACAGTACATATATATTAACCATGTTTTGCATTTTACTGATTGTACATAGTGTTTTTAATAGGATTTATTTTTTTAGAGTTGGCGAACTTTTATATCAACATAAATTCTTATATTTCTTGACTAATTAATTTTGACTCCGGTTACTTGGTGGCGACATTTGAACCTAAAAATGATGAATATATTTCACACTACTAACTCGTGCGTCTATTTGCTCATTATTCATAAATCACTTAACATTTTCAACAGTGCGAACTGAATACCTAGCTAATGATGTAAAAGCCTTGTGAAACGTATTTGTTGTTTGTGTGCATAATATTGGCCAGTTTAACTGCCGACTGGTACCGATCAACACATAGTAGCTGCACGATCCTTGAAGCTAAACATGAAGATTAGCCTTTGGACAACTGTGAAAAGTCAGAATATATAACCAAAAAGACACTTAATCGAAATATCGTTGCTCGGCCATGTGGACTTGATCATTCTGCGTGACCTCAACCTTTTTGAATCAAATATATTATTCTACTCCCCAAACTATATGTGTTCTAAAAAGGTTCATAAACAGCATATTACTAACTAACGGCAGAACAAATAAGTATAACGAATAATGCGACTTCTACATAAGATCTTGTAGCCTGGGTATTCAGTATGGCAAGTTTATGATATGAGAATTACCTTTCGTTCTAGTGGTATAGCTAAGTGCACCAGGGACCTGGTCCTATACTTTACCTTGATTTATTGATCCCTCTAGTAGTGCGAAGTCATGATCTTGGTGTAAACCTTGTATAAACGTATAATCTTGAGGTCCGCTGTACCGCAGAGCATTAAACCAGGTAACATTGGTGGCTGTCCCATCCTAGTCTGGAGGCTCACCTATGGACATCGAAAGTCCCGATTCCGACACATCGTGTACGTTGATAGTGTAAATAAAACGGCGGGCTGCAAAGCACTTTATGCTTGTATTGTTTCATTTTCCATAACATGATCAAACTTGTAATTATTTTTGGGATATACATCATTATCATTGAAGCAAGTGGTCTTTTTGAGGTCGCGACGTAAATTCTATGCTTTTTTTCTGTAATGAACTACCTTTTCGTAAACACAATAGGGCTATGATGTTTTATAGTTAGCGTCCCAGTAGGTTTCATATATCTTGTTGAGTATTGCATCGAGTTTTTCAATGCCACAGGCTGAAAGGTCTAACATGAAGTAAAGTACCCCAAAAGAGATCCGTTCACCCGTCTTTAAAAAACCAACGTGGACGGGCCAATACCTTAGTCACAATAGTTACTGCCCAGTGCAATACAGACGAGGTCCGGTGAGCAGTCTGTCTAATGGGATTAATCGTGTTTGCACAAACGATGCTATTGATGACGACGTTAGGTTGTTAAACAAAGCATTAGTGCAAACTGGCTACCCCCTAAAATTCATAAATAGATGGAAATGTCACGGTATATTGAGACGTACTATAACCTTGGCAGAAAGGAACCTGTCTACGTCAGTTTTCGGTTTGGAGGTGATTCAAATAGCTTTCTACCGATACAAAGGCTTAAATAAGTTGTTGACAGGACATATTACACAGTAAAGGTCGTAATGAAGGAGAAAACAAGGTCCATGACTCAGCAAGAACGTAAAAGTTATGAAAACGACTGCGCCACGTGCCACTGTGTTTATCAATTTGAATATGTGTGTGGTCACACATACATGTGGAGGAGTAATCGTGATCTCCGAATTAGGGTGTGCGAACATGTACGTAAGTGGTTGCATGAACAAATAAAATCAAATGATCCAATAATAGTAGATGATAAACATCCATCATTCTCTATTGCCAGACACGTGCTTGGAACGGGTAATAAAATTGATCTTAACACGGATTTTGTGGTGTTGAAAAAAGTGTAAAAGGATGTATTCTAAGGTTTATTGAAGCCTTAAGCATATGAAAATTGAAACATGCTCTATGTATTCAAAAACGTTTGTTCTCATTTTAAACCTGTCCTGGTAATATTAGTTTATTATGCAGCGTAATGAGGCTTCAAGTAGTTTTTCATATTATTTTCTTTATTATCTTTGTCTCCACCCACCCTCCATTCCCAGTCTAGTTGAACCTTTATTTTTATATGCAAATTTTCTTAACAAGAATATACGTGATCAGATTGTTCGGAATGCATTGCGCTAATATCTTGCATAGTTCTGATAATCTTCTTATTCTTATTACGCTATCCGAATTTATGAAAGGGACTGATTGCTTCGAATATCGTGACCATTTTTCTTACTTATAGGGGACTTGATGTTCAGAACTGCCATCTGAAAGATACATCACACTGCACGACAGTTTGTCAGTTACGCATAATAGAACAGGGGAGAATCGAATGGAAGTCATCTAATTTTCCACCTATACTGTCATACGTAGAAGCACTATGAGGATAGCTTGTTGTTTGTAACAGTTCACAGGTGAATAGTGTTGGCCGTTTGAGCACAACCAGATGTAACGAGGATGCGGATATTGTGTTTACAAAGCTGTCCTGAAACGTTTTTGGAGAAAATTCACTGACTAACGTGGATATTCGTAATAATAATACTACCACCTTTACTCGAGTTTGTCCAATGCCCTGATCGCATCGCCACCTTAACTGGTTTCTCACCTATGTGAAGCGGACTTGTTAATGCCCTCATTTCGAACGTAGGATTCATGGACATTCAATGGAGTCTCGGTTGTCGATTGATATATGCTTATGGATGCCAGTTATATCTACATTGTATGCTATATGTTATATGCTATCTTGCTTCCCAGATAGTGTTTAGTTCCAGTCCGTGGTGTGCTCAAGAAAGTCCACTGAGTTACAAGTTCATCTTAATCTCGTCTTTTAATTTATTTCGCGTCCTCGACCGTTTATCAAAACATGGTGCCAAACAATCGTTAATTTCTGGGAGCATAACATCAAAACCTCGATATTAATAGGCAATGATAAATGCTCAGCATTTGTTTGGTCGAAATGCTGAGTAAGAAGCTCGATAAACGTAAGCAAGTGTCTTGTTGACTTTCGATGATGTCCTGGTCAGCCGTCGACACCGAATCCAGAGTTCTTGTATTGCAGGCGAGTGAGTTTAAGCCTTCGCCTGAAGCAGTCAATGAAAAAATTATAATAGACATTGAAAATCTGCAGTAGCAATACCTGAGGCATCAGTTACAAGTCATCTCCTAGGGTTTCCCTACACTTTGGTTAATATCCTGGCATTCAAACATATGTACATTAAATTTCTCACGAGAACGTTTTTTTTTAAAATTGGAGCGCCTATTAAATCCCTTTCATTTTCAAACTAGTTTACTAAAAGGTGAATTTGGCTGTATTATATATGTGATAATTTCTTGATGAGTAACAATTGGAGTTTAATATTCGTGAGAATACCTGTTGCTCTGAACACCCGTAGTGAGTTATGTTGGACTGTATCACTTCTGTTAAACAAATGTGTTATCGAGTTTTGAAATGAAACATGACACTCATCGTTGATCCAATGGTGAATGTAGTGGCGTCTTTAAAAATTATGTATATATTTTTCAAACGTTCACTACGATGTCCTTTAATTCGCTGATGAATATGGAGAGTGTATTTGACCTGCATTTGCGACATACCTCATTCACTTACTCGTTAAAATTATTTAAAGCCACATTTGAATTATACTCAGGTGTAGAAGATGTGGAATAGCTAAATTCTCATTCAACTAGGTCTGTTACTCCCAATCTACTCTGTCCTGGGCTTCTCTTCTGATTCTATCCAATTGCTGTTCATTTTTCTCATACCTGTTTCATTTTCTTGGCGCAATGTATTCTCTGATCCTCCTATTCTCCTCTTCCCTTGATAGATCCACGTGAGGGCTTGCTTTGTGATGCAGTTGAGTGCTTTTTCCCATATTTTTACTACCTACTTCCAGCGCTTCTTCCAGATTTGTTCCTCCGCCGGGTTCTGATTTGTTTTCTCCCATAGTAGGTGGTTGCTGATAGTTTTCGGCCAACGGATCCGAAGTATTTTGCGTGGGCGGCTGTTAATAAAATCTAGCATCTTCTGGATGATGTCTTTTGTAATACTTCAAATTTCCGTTGCATACAGTAGAACCGTCTTCAAAAGTAACTTCCAGGTCTACAGAAGCTGTATTGAAACCAGATGTTGCAATAATACTGCTATTATCCTTAAGTAGAAGACACCCAAAACAGAGCAAATATTTTGTTCAGCTGCAAGACATAAAGTAATAAATATTAATATTCTCACGATAATTTATGAACCACCTTGAGAGACGCTCAAGTGACCTAAAGACAACTCACGTACTTTCTTCGGTGAAAGCAGGTTTGTTGAATACCATGAGGAACTGGGATATGAGATTATTTGTTGAAATTCAAGGTTATTGATTCAGACAAGGGTTCTCATCAAGGACTGGTATCAGCTATAATCCTAAAATGAGAATTAAGTTTGTGGATTAATGAGTTTCTCGCCAAAATTCAAGACTTGCTATTCTTGTTTCCATTGATTCGTCCATAAATTATAGTCTCACCATTCAAGGAAGCGTATAAGTTAGCGAGCCAATTAGTGCTACTTAGATACACTTCTGCCCTTCAGTGTTCTGTAAAATAAAACGAGTTATTTTTTCAACAGGGGATGTCTTTAAACTTATGCCTGTATATAAATATAAAATGTCATTGTTCAAGGTGTTTTGAGGGTTTGAATAAAGGCCTACCTAAAAAGTGTAAGGTTCACAGAAAGACGTATAATGTAGTCGAATTAGTCATACAAAGGGAAAATGTAGCCAAGAAAACTAAACTTACTCATTGACATTTAAATGTTCTTTTGGATGCAATGTTCCACAATGATCTTAGGATTGTGTTGATTTTGCTTGTGTAGCGGTAAATAAATCCCCAAAATAAATAGTTCTAAGTTTTGGACATTGGATGCTGGCCATATGTTTTAGTGGACTCATCTAGCTGAAGGCGCTCGGTCAGGCCTCCGCACCAGATCACGTGTGGTAACGCCGTGCTCAACATCAACCGCAGTCGCTAGCCAGATTAGATCAGAGAATTCCGATATATTGGTCATCTCCAAATATACTCTTCCGATCTCCTCGACTCTGTCTTTTGATTTCTCTGGGTGGGCACGAAATATATTAGAAGGTGTTACTGGTAGGAGCGTTGTCAAACACTGAATACCTGTGACATCATCATTGGTGAGACCGACGTGATCTGGTACACCTAATTACAACTGTGAGTCTGTTCCTTTTTGGGGTTTTTATATATCACTGTCTTATTTTTTATTTTTTTAAACATTGTGATTTTTTTTCGTGTTTTTTCTTGGATATATATATATTTTCCCTCGTTCATTATCGTACTTCATACTTCATCATGACTGAACAGACACCTAAAGTACTCAAGCTTAAGACTTTGTCCCCACCTTCGTTTCAACTGATGCCTTTCTGGCCCGACAACATCGAAGCCTGGTTCTACTACGCAGAAGCCGGCTTCTCCGAGCACGGCGTGATCGACACAC